CCCCAAAACCCCAAAACCCCAAAACCCCAAAACCCCGAAATATAAGCAGCAAATTGGATCTTTGTTATAATTGCAATATTTTATCAATGCAAGAAACAGTGAAGCAAAGCGAGCAGGAAAGTAATCAAGGTAAAACTTAAGCCGAAGAAAGAGTTAAAGGGGCTTAATAATATCTAAATAAAGAGGGCCATTGGTTTAAACTCAGAAATGGAAGCCTCTTCGAGGGGATGAAAGAATTCTAAACTCAAATCTTCTCCAAATATTTATTGCAGATTACTTTAATTTTCACTGCTTATTTCTTTGATAAATTACTTCATTAAGTCTAGTTTCTCTATCATCTTTGGTGAAGTTTTAACTTAAAAATTGATTCGGTTGCTCAAAAATCTGAGCCAAATATTTATCAGAGCTTTATAACAATAACATGGCTATTTTTAAAGATATTTCTCGTGAATAATCGGTCTGCTCGCTTTAATTTCCTATTTTCTAATTGATACAGCAATGATTGGTCTACTAATATTTCTAATCTAGAATTAAAAGTGACAAAAAGAGGCTACCATAGAAGACTCAGTTTATTTCCAATTCACGAGCAAGCTAAGACACACAATGATACTATCAGCGAGGTTCGGAACATTAAAGCTCAGTTTGGAGTAAGCAGTTGTCTTAACCAGGCTTTTCGAAATCTCTACTTCCCTATGTTCATTTTGATGCTATTTAAATAGCTTACTGTCAAAAATACCAAGAAAGTATTGCGGGAGTCCCAAAGACGTCTCACTCGTAAGTTGTTGCCAGTGACTTGTAGTGGACCAAGTGGAAGACATTTTAAAGGGCAACCATGGTATCGAGACTATTGGAATAGAAGACTTCAAAAAGATGGACTTCAAGTTGTCTAGTTCAGAAATTGACAAGACCTTCAAACCCGGAAATCTCTGGAGAGAGATGCTTAACTACACTAATAGTCATGACAAGTCCTCTCTCATAAGCAAGTACATCTCTGAAGAGATGATCAAGAAAGAAATCAGAGGCCTTATTCAAGACATGAAAGTGAAGAAGTATTCCATTCTCTTGTAACATATTTTTCTAGGACGATTTTCAAGAGTTTTAACTTATTTAAAGCGTACCTCTTCGAAAAGGTGAGAAGCCTGTTTAACTTTCTAGATCCTGGTTCCTCTCCACAGTAAAAGCCAGAACCCCCGATCTTTTGAATCAAGAAAACTGAAGTTGCTCATGAAGGTAAGTGAATTCTAATAAGCTTAGATTTTGTCAACTCAAGAGTTTTATATCCAAGAAAAAGAAGACTTCATCAAAACAATTTTCGGTATGCTTAGAGTCTCGAACCTCTAGAGAAAAAGAGTTCAAGCAACGAAGACTTAGGTACAATATGAGCTCTAACCGTATTAGGAAGCATTTGTCAAGGCAGAAAAGACATGAAGAGTCCACTGAAAATTTCAAACAAATTTAATTTTTCTCTTATGAGCACTTTCAAGAGTAATTTGCAAATTAACTTGTGCAGAGAAATCTTTCATGATTTCTGCTAAAAGTCCGTCCTGAAGTAAGTTTCTGAACTCTGACAGTATCTAGGAACTCCAAAGTTTTGTCTTATCAATAATTTACCAAGTAAGAAAGTCCAGTTCATTCTGTAGCAATGAGAGGGACCTCTCAGACACATCAGCAAATAACCACGGTAAGACTTGTAACTTATTCTCCGGATAGAAATGCACAAGTACTGAAAGGAGAAACCCCCAAGTACAGAACTTAAAATTCAACTCTTTTAATCAAGACAGTGACTTCTTGGCAAATCCGAAGAAGCAAGACGAAGATGATGAGGATGGAGAGCAAGACGGAGGAGACGAAGATTGCCAGCAAAATGAAAATATTTTGACTCAAGATCTGAGATCAAGAGTAAGACTCTTCTATTATAAGCTAACTTACTTAGAGAAGTAGTACAATATACAAAAACAAAAGGAGAATAGTAAGAATTTAAATTTTAAACGATAGGGTTTGTGTTCTCCAAAAGGCCCTGCATCCCCATTGTCTCCGCAATGACTACAAGTTAATGCATTTCAGTTCGGAGATGCATTGAGTAAGCTTTACAGCCGAACAAATAGAGTCACTAGCAAACCGAAATAAACGAAGCAGAATTCGTCACCAAAGAAATGAAGATGTATTATCGATGCCAAGCCAACCACGCTCACCAATCAATTCTTTCATCTCTGAGAATAGAAATAAAGCTGACAATAGAGCTTGTAAACCCTCAGTCATAAGAAAGATCTTAAAGAAGAAGCCTCTGAATGAAACAAAGAGAGGTATTATTTCATCATAATTTCTTAGTGATTCGTCTCAATAAGTCCCAAAGAAGAAAGTTCACCATATTCAAGAAGTAAAGTTTCCCTTATTGTTTAGGCAGGTTAGGACTCCTTTAACAAAGCTTAAGAAACTCCAGAAGGTGAAAAGAGAGATCTTAAGTCCAATTCGTTGAACATCACCTTTTCTGTTTAGTAACAGAGGGTCTCCGAATGCTATTTGTCACCCAAATCACCATAATTTGTAATTCCCAGAATATTCAATAATCGTAACTTCCTTGGGGTTTTGGGGTTTTGGGGTTTTGGGGTTTTGGGG